TCATACCCATACCCAATCCCTAATGCCTACCCTACTCGTAATGGTGGGTCAAGGTCGGGGTGGGGTTGAGGTAAGGGCAGGTGGTATGGGGGTAAAGGCAGGGTCGAGGTAGGGTAAGGGGTATGGTGGGGGTGGGGAAAGGGGTATGGTCAGGGGTAGGGTGGTAGGTAGGGGGATGGGGTAGGGGTGGGGTCGAGGTAGGGGCAAGTGGTAGGGCGTAAAGGGGTAAGGTAAGAAAGGGTATGTGGGGGTGGGGGTAAGGGGAGTGTGGTCAGGTTAGGGGTGGGGTAGGGATGGGGTGGGGTGGGGTCAAGGTATGGGTAAAGGGGTCAGGGGGTAAGGGGTATTGATAACCGCTTTTGCGGCGTTGTAGTAAAACGGAGTCTAACATTTCAGTTTTCCAATATTTTAATTAATAAAAATAGCCAAATTCATTAACTAGTTAAACTCATTATTTAAGCAATTGAATTTATTTCTCATAGACAAGATGTAAATCCCTTTCACTAAATTATCCTATTCCTAGGCCTTATTAATGTTCTTTAAAATGGTTGGTTTAAATTATTTTCTAATCTCATTGACAAGTTAGAAATAATTTTCCAAGAATTTAATTAATGAAAATGGCTAACAATTATTAATTACTATTTCATCATTTTAAACAACTAGTCCAATTTATTAATTTTAATCCCTAATTTTTGGTCAACAAGTCAATCCATATTACTTTAGTCAATTCATGCCCAAAACAAATTTAGCTACTAAACATCATTTTTGCATTTAGCAATATAATGAATAAATTCAACATTAACAAGGAATTGAACATGTATAATAGCAAAGATTAAACAAAAATAATATTCCGCCAAAATAAACTTGTAGGAACTGGAATATAACTTTCTGGAATTTTTCACGAATCTACTAACCTAAAATCCAATTTTAACAACTAATTTATAATTTTCCCAATATCAACCACAAAAATGCAAAAAGCAACTAAAAATAGTCTAAATTAGTTCTAAATTTTATATTGACTACTGGTAGTGATATGACAGTGAATTAAACTGGAATTTGGACCGAAACTATTTTTTTTTCCCTTTTTTGAGTATTTATTTTAATTTATGCAATAATGTCAAATAATTACAGAAATTAATTAAAAATTACTTCTGCTTCGTGAAAATTTACTTTCTTCAGATAAATAACTACCTTGAGGCTAGTAAACAACTATATAATTAATTGAATTGGATTCGACATCAACGACTATTTTATTCAATTTTTGGAAGAAAATGTGAAATAGTTGATAAATATTCTGGAAATTTTCAAGGAACAGATCGAACAAACAAAGTACAGATTCAGATTCTACACATTGAGAGGATGAAAACGCATATATAGAACTTACAATTTGAAGCTAAAGAAGAAAAGGAAGATTTAGAGCTGGATTAGGATTTGTAATGGTGTATTTGAGATGAGAAAAAGGCCTGATATTTATAACCCAAAAAAATCCGTAGGCCTCCAAACAGGCGGCCGAATTTGGCCTCCTTCCGGCCACCTTCTGTCGCAATCGCCGACAGCCCTACCTCGCTTGACTTCGCCGTAGGCGGCCACGGCAGGCGGCCGCATGTCGTTCCTGTCTGGCTGCCCTCCGTCAAATCGCACCGGCCGGTCGTTGGTTGCGTCGCCTTGTGGCGCAAGCGGCCATGAAGGGTGGCCGCCTACCGTCAAACGTCGGCAGCCTTCGGTTTTCTCTGATCCGGTCAAAGTAAAAGTCCGATTTTCCAAAATATTCGTAGGCGGCCGAGCATGCCTTCGTTTTGGGCACCTGTTTGAAGGTCTGTGTGGAAATTAATCTGGCTTGTTCAGTATTTTCTGCCTGCTCTTCAAGATTGTCTTTAGGACCACTGTGATATATGCTTGCTTCTTCCGGTATGAATTCATGTGTTACTCAAATTGACTCATTTTGTGCTCAATTGACCCGGGATTTCGCCAAACATATTATGAATGTGATTTTCACATGATTTCATGAAACTTGAACCAATATATCTAAAACATGGTTTGTTTTTCTATTTTCTATCCAAAAATTGCTTAAATTTGATAAGAAAAATAAGTAGAAAAATGTACTTATCAGGTATGAGTGGTAAGGGCTAGTGGTAGGGAATGGGATGGGGTCGAGGTTAAAGGGGTAGGTCGGGGTAAGGTAAAGGGGCACCGAGTGGGGTGAGGTAAGGGGGTATGGTCGGTTTGCAGGGTGGCGTCAAGGTAGGGGTAGGTGGTAGGGCAAGTATGCGCGAGGGGTAGGGGGTGGGGAGGGTAGAGTGGTACTGGGTAGATCGAAGGGGGTAACAATAGGGTAAGGGCAAGGGGTAAGAGTAAGGCTAAATTCGGAAACTGATAAAGCTTAAAGTGTCGCTTAATTAATACATGGGGTGGTGGTGGTGGTGGTATGCTTAGTTAGCAGTACTTTAAGTACCTCTTTCGGTTAGTAAGCAGCTTTTTAAGCAGCTTACATGTTTACTTCACATGTCTTACTAACCTAACTGTGACTTTAGCAGCGAAGTAAACACCTCTTAAGTAATCTTGTCATCCCATGCCATATTCGCACTAAAGCGCATGTTATATTTATAAAAAAAATAACTAGCTGCCCTGATGCTACAACATAATGAGATAGGATTTCCTCGATTATGAAGCAATCGCTTTCAGTTTCCTTGCAAACGAAAACAACTATCGTCAGTGAATAATAGGTGAGAAATCGTCGACGCTACACGTGCCACGCGATCCCTGGACATATCTATCCTTCGTTTTCTTTTGCCCGCATCGCACTAATGCCTTTCGCCACCATTGTAAATAAGTACGGTGGTAACGGGTCACATTGTCTCAATCCCCATGAAGGAATGATTGACCCGATCAAATCCCCATTTACTTGAACATTATACCGCATCGCGTTCACGCATTGTATAGTGATATCCATCCACCAGGCATGAAAACCAAAACACTCCATAATATATTTAAGAAAACCTCACTCAACCCTGTCATAACCTTTGCTCATGTCTAATTTTAGAGCCACATACCCCGGCCTTCCTTGGGTCTTCCTCTTCAAATAATGTTGAACTTCAATAGCTACTATGATATTATCACCTATGGATCTATTTGGGAGAAATACACTTTGGTTATCAGTAATAATACCATCCAGAAGCCCTTTAAGCCGGTTTGCTAAAATCTTGGAAATATCTTGTAAGCCACATTACATAAAGCAATTGGTCTTCAATCCCCCACATTTAACATATTTTCTTTCTTCAAAATTAAAACAATGGTACTGTCATTATATCCCAGACTCATACAAAAGTCCACCATTGGCAGTCCCACTATATCCCAGAAAGCTTAAAAGAAACCCGGGTTCAGACCACGAGGCCCTGGCACCTTATCCGGATGTATACTAAACACAACTACTCGACCTCTACTTTTGTAATTCCCCGAGAATGCTAGCATTTTGAGCATCATTTATTTTACTTCGTAAATCCCCAACTGCCAACGTACATGTGTTCCTGTCCCTAATTGCCAACTTCATAAATACCCTTAGAAAAAAGAGTCTCAAAATAATTCAAAATCATGCCATTTAAATCTCGGCCCCTTGATTTGTCACCCACTTGCCTGTCTCAGAATAAAGTCCTTTCATCAAATTCTTACTTCTCCATTGCTTAACGAAGCTATGAAAATACCTAATATTAGTATCACCGTGTTGTAGCCAAAATTCTTTTGCTCTTTGCTTCCAAAAGGCGTTCTATTTCTCAAGGAGGTCCATATAGCATCCCGGGAGGTTGGGGGTAGTGCCCTCTTTAATAATCATGCATAACATCGTTAAAGTCATAGACTACTACCCAATGAATATTGTAGCCAAGCTTTGTAGTAGTGTCCAAGAATCATGTCTTCTATTTCATTCCCCGTCAAGCGCCATTATTGATAATGCAAAATCATCCTTCGAGATCAATGCCAAGCCACCACTTAGTCCGTCACATGCAACACTGAAATAATGTTGAAACCTTAGCTTTTTACACACTTGTGCAATGCGGCCGTTGCCACACAAAGTCTCCATCAAGAAGATGATCGACAAATGGTATGTTTAAGAAATAATGTAACACCAGCGATGTGGCAAAATTGCCCAAGCCTTGGCAATTCCAACTAACACAGCCTATCTGCCTATCTCAAAGAAGATGAAACAAACCTCCCGACCAAGCTGACACCGATGGGGACAAAAATTCTTCCACACACACACGAGGAAGACCAAAACCTCCAGAAGAAACCCGAGAACGAACCTGAAATTCTCTGGCTACATAAGTCGACTACTGGTAGGTGCCGACATCGGCATTAGGTTTTTTTGGTATCCTCCATTGTAATTTCAATATTTAAGGCGTGACATTATAAAATGGTATTATAAAAGGAAGATAAACATCACTTTTTATTAAGTTGATCTGAGTCTTTTCGGGACATCTGATAAAATTGGAACGATACATAGAAGATTAGCATGGCCCATGCGCAAGAATGACACACACAAATGTTTTGGATTGTTTGTGTTAGTGGTAGTCTTGGGATGTATAAGGCCGTTACTTACCTCGTATGTTTAACAAAAAGTTTCACGCATATTTGGGTGAACTTTTATGTGCCTGATCAGGGACTGAGGAGACTTTTACGCTATTATGAGTCTAGTGAAGTGAGGAAGAGTAATGTTGCTTTAAGGTTTTGTAAGAACTTTATATTATTGTTCATTTGCATTCCTTCTTTGGAGGTGACCGTCCCAATGTCTGAATGTAGGATTCTTAGTGAGTTAGATAAAGTTCTTTGGGAGCTGAGATAAATGACGGAATTTTAAGTTATTGGTTAATTGTCATTGCGAATGATTGTTTGAATTAATATAGTTCACTCATTTTCTCTTGGGAAAAATTGAACCTGACAAGTGACAACTATAGGAGAAGTATCATTCAAAGAAAAGAAAAAAAAAAGAAAAAAAAACATGAGCATGCAGGGGAATATGTAATTTCACAATTCAATCCGAACTGTAGTCAAAAATAGCAACCCGGACTGGGTGGAAAGTCATTCAAGTCCTCTTCACCCTCCTAATCTTACACACGAAGACAACCGGAAAAAGGAAACTCAACCGCTTCACTCCGCCATTTTTTCTTCAATCTGATGCAGTACAAATATGTTCATAAATCATAACCTGCCCCCTTCACCTCCACCAGTTCTTCTGCTACAGAGTCAAAATTCACTAATTATGTAGCTTAGGCAAAGTATATATACAGCTAGCAATAAACAGAGCATACATATATCGCGTATTCTGGCGTGACGCTCGAGAGGATGAAATGCTTTCACTTCTCGAATGGGGAGAGGAGGGAAGAAGAAGAAGGCGGCGCAGTTTCCGGTTCCAGACCTTGTAAGGTGTTGTGGGCCCGGTCTCTGAGCGTGGCCTCCAGCAGCGTCGACTCAACTCGGCGCTCCGAGTTCGACTCCGAGTCGAGGGACTTGAATGACCCGCTCGGCTTCTACCAGCGCAGGGGAAACGATCTGCGAGTCTTCACCTTCGCCGAGATGAAATCTTCCTCCAGAGGGTTCAGCCGCGCCCGGATGATCGGAGAAGGCGGGTTCGGGTCTGTTTATAGGGGCGTTGTTAGCGTTCCGGGTTCGGGTTCTAGTTCGAAAATGGAGGTAGCTATTAAACAGTTGAATCGAAGTGGTTTCCAGGTATTTCTTTTTTTACTTTATGGTTTATCCCTTTGATCCATCCTTTTTAATATATTCCCTTGAAAAAATTGTTTTTATTAATCTTATCATCTGCATACTTCACTCAAATTTGGTGGACGATAAAAGTTTTTTTTTTTTAAATTACAGTAATTTTTTTTTTGAAATTTCTTTTTAGTAATCTATTTTACAGTAAAATTACAGTAAATTTTAAGCTGTCAATAGTGTGTAAATAGCAAGCTAGCATGTGATTGGTGATATATATTCTCTCTTGGCATTATTCAGCTTTTTTTCCCCTGAAATAAGTGACCCTTTTACTCCATTCACATTAAGTTGTTTATGTGCAAATTGAAGAAATAGTAGTGTGTGAACAGGGGAAATGAAAAAAGTGAAAGTATAAATAGAATAATGTTTTTTGGGTATGGTGGTAGTTATTACAAATTATAAGTAGTGGACCAAGTAATAAGAATAATTAACCTTCATAAAAGAATGGTGGAATAAATTAAAGTGAACTGCCATAGTGTTATTTATTGACCTTTTAGTTTTTTCAATTCTACTCTTCTATGTACAATTAATATGGTTCCACTTGCCACGTTCTTACACTATCTAAAGTCTAAGCAACAATTTAATGAACTTGAGTTATTAATTAAATAGATGACTAAACAAGGGGTAAATTTGTATATTAGCCTCTTTTATCAGTATATTTTTGAAATTTCTTTATACGTGAAACATTCCATAGCTATACTTTTTAGCACAGAATACATATTTTCTTAAGAGTTGCATTCCTCTTATTTTATAAGAAAAATCTTTTATAGGAGTAAAACACAATACTCCTAAAATAGGAGTATCATTATTTTATTCATAAAAGATGACTTATGCACTCTTAATTGAGCAGTTTTATACTTTTAATTGCACAAAACGAATCTTATTTTGCGAATAAAACATACTCGTAACTAATTTTATTTGTGTATTATGTCATTGTTTTACTCTTATTTGGGGCGATTTTTATTTTTATGTATTCATTATTTATTCTCTTGGATTGTACAAATTGGATTCAATGATGTTTGTTGAAAAATTGAGAAAAGAAATTACAGGATCTTAAAAAAACAATGAAAGTTTGACTCGTTAGACCATACCTTGTATTGTGTATTTAGTTTTGTGCACTATTTAATGGTTTCGGAAAATGAAAATGCATAATTACCAATCATATGTTTGGTTCCTCCATGATTTTTGACTTGGGCAACTAATTTCCTTCACTTTCCATGTCACAAAACACGTTCTTTTTTATTAGTCTTTCTTTTCTTTTTGGGACGTTTTTTTTATCTGTCATCTTTTCCATTTAAGGAAAGATTTTACTCTAAATATACCTTTATACTCCAACTTTTATTACCATTACCTCTGTCTCTTTCCTACTTTTTCATTTACCCACTACTCATTACACCTTTCACACTACCCCTACTACTTTCCTCTTAAAACCCGTGCCAAAGCCTAAGAGGACTAATATTAAAGAACGGAGGTAGTACTCCGTATTATCTTTATAAACAATATATTATCTCTGACTAATTTTTAGTAACTTGAGTGATTATCATTGGCCACCGCAATGTGGACTATAAAAGGAAGGGAGAAGGATCAGATGGGACATTGAGGTTATACCATAAGCTCAATTTAGACACTAAGGTTTTAATTGGATCACATATAACTCAAAATTACCTGGTCGTGTTATATCTGGACACTCATTAACGGAGGCGTTAAATAAATTACTTTTTCTGCTCATCTGTGCTCCTTTAATTTCTTACTCCGTATATGGTATCACCTAACCTTAAACCCGTACCAACCAATTACCCCAATCCTATTGCCTATTTGCTGAAACTTTCTTTCCAGGAATCAATTCATAAGATCTCCATTATCTTTTTTAAAAAAGAACCTCCAATTTTAAAGCCACTCACAAATCTTATGACATCGATGACACTTCTTGCAGATCAGCCGTTTCTTGTTCAACCGGATTAACCTAAACCTAACTCATCGACCTCCCACTTCTCTTAGACTCTTTTACTTTGAGTACAACTCCACCTCCGAGAGGCGATCGATACCCCATGAAGGAGGCAAAGGATGAGATGATTCCGTCTACGAAGAACATGATTTACAACTCACGGCCGTCGACGGCATGGGACTCGCCAAGATCGTTCTCAATGATCTAGATTTGGTTGTGGTTTGCCCCGAAGTCTATCTCTAAAAACAATTAAATTATTTGATAGGCAAAACTATTTTTTTCTTGATAAAAAGACGTTTCAGAGGAAATGGTTGCTGGAAGCACGACAATTTAATTAATTTTGAACTTATGGTTTTAGACTTACTTGTCTTTTTCTTTTTTATTCTTCATTTTGATATATACAAATTACAAAAGTATACACTTATTAGATTTATAAGGTAGAAATTAGAAAAGAGACACTCCTAATAAAGAGTTGAAACTTGAAATTGATGAAATATCATTGTGTACACGTTTAATAGCGAATCATCTGGGTCTTTGTTCACACATTTGATGATTTAACTTTTCCTGTCTTCCGACCCATTTTTATTTATGAAATCTAGCGATCGTTAGCCTACCGTTGAGTAGGGATTCACTCGGTGTCCTAATATAATGAAAAAGGTTGATCTTCTATTAATTTGCTCCTTATAAGAGCTTAGTGTCCAATTCGAACCTCACAAATAACCTTAGGGTTTGTTTTGACCCTTCTCCCTAAAAGGAAGGTTCCTCTCTGCTTGTGGTTTGAGCTTGTTCTTTTAGACTATTTATTTAAGGCTCTTGCAAGTCTAAGTTTTCATTATAAATTAATTAACCTATCATTACTTATTCATTAGTAATAAATAAACCAAAATAATACGAGTAATAATGACATAAGGGAGACCTATGAAACTGTGTCAGGAATCGCTATATTTCATCGGTTCCGCTTTGTGTACACAACATTGTCCACGCCATTGTACAGACAATTTGACCGCATTTTATGAAGAAAATCGATTTCCACACAGACAAAAAAAACAATTTGTCTGTATCCCAGATATTTGAAACAAGAATTTTTCATAAAATGTCTTTGCTACAAACAATTTGATCAGTTTTTTATGAAGAAAATCGATTTCCAGACAGACAAAAAAATTGTTTGTATCACAGACATTTTAAACGGCAATTTTTCATAAAATGTCTGTGACACAGACAATTTTAAACGAGAATTTTTATAATTTTTATCATTAAATTAGTGTTGTGCTTCCTTTCATTTTTATAATTTCAATGAAATTATTGACTTGGGCTTTCAGTATATGCTATATTTGCATATCGATTATTTTCAAATTGTATACTCCCTCCGATCGAAGAAGATGGGGCAGAAGAAAGCAGTGAGTCCAAATGACATACCGATCGAGGTTTAGAGAAGTTTGGGAGAGAGAGGCATTGGGTGGTTAACAAATTTCTTCAACAAGATTTGGAGAAACAACAAGATGCCAACGAGTTGGAGAAATAGTACTCTTATTCCCTTATTTAAGAATAAATGTGATGTACAAGAATGTGCCAACGATCGAGGGATTAAGCTTATGAGTCATACCATGAAACTTTGGGAGCGAGTGATTGAGCAAAGACTTCGAAGAACGGTGAAGATTTCAGAGAATCAATTCGGTTTTATGCCTGGTCGCTCAACAACGGAGGCTATTCACTTTCTTCGGCAACTTATGGAGAAGTATAGAGATGCTCACAAGGATTTGCATTTAGTGTTCATTGACTTAGAAAAGGCATATGATAGGGTACATCGAGAAGTTCTTTGGTGGGCCTTAACTAGAAAAGGCATTTCACGCAAATATATCAGCATCATCATGGATATGTATGAGGATTGTACTACAAGTGTCCGTACTAGTGTAGGGAGGACTGCGGAGTCCCCTAGTACTATCGGAGTGCACCAAGGATCGGCTCTAAGCCCTTTTTTATTTTCCATAGTCATGGATGAACTTACAAAGTCAATTCAAGACGATATACCGTGGTGCATGATATTTGTCGACAATATTGTATTGATTGATGAGACGCAATTAGAGGTTAAAACAAAGTTGGAAGTATGGCGACAAACATTGGAGAACAAGGGTTTCAGACTAAGTAGGAGCAAAACAGAGTACATGGAGTGCAAGTTTGGTGGAGGTAGAAGCAGTGATAATAGCGAAATTACTTTAGATGGTACGGAGGTACCGGTCAGCGATATGTTCCGTTACTCGGGCTCCATAATTCAGAAGGATGGTGAGTTAGATGGAGATGTATCCCATAGAATCAGAACAGGGTGGATGAAGTGGAAGAGTGCGTCAAGATTTCTATGCGATCGAGGTATGTCGACTAGACTTAAAGGTAAATTTTATAGGACATCAATTAGGCCTGTATTACCGTATGGCACCGAGTGTTGGGCGGTGAAACAATGTCACGTTCAAAAGATGAGTGTGGCAGAGATGCGCATGTTGCGTTGGATGTGTGGGCATACTAGAAAGGACCGCGTGAGAAATGAGACAATCAGACAAAGGGTGAGAGTAGCACCTATTGAAGATAAGATGCGGGAGTTGCGCCTACGGTGGTTTGGTCATGTGCATAGAAGACCGAGTGATGCACCTGTCAGATGAGTTGAGATGTGTGGAGAAGAGGTAGGGAAGAGAGGGAGAGGAAGGCCCAAACAAACGTGGGTTAGGGGAGTCAGAAGTGATATGCTTTTTCTTGGATTAGATGAGAGTATGGCTTTGGAGAGAGCAAAATGGAGGGCAGGTATTCGTGTGGAGGAGTGATCTTGTATCATCTTTTCCCCTCTTTTTTTTCTTTTTCTTTTATATTTTTATCCTTATATATAAATATTACTTTATCCTTTTCATTTTATCTTTTATATGTATATTCATCTCTTTTATCTTATCTTTTTTATCTTTATTTTCTTTCTTTTCCTTTTGGTGATATCATGTATCGATTCATGTTAGCCGACCCCAATATCGTTTGGGACTAAGGCTTGGATGTTGTTGTTGTTTTTTATACTCCCTCCGTCTCATAAAATTTAGCCAAAGTTGACTTACACGTAGAATAATAAAATAAAAACGAGAAAAGGGTCAAATTGGGTCAAAATTGTCTGTGATACAGAAATTTTTTTATTTTTTTCTGTGTGAAAATCGGTTTTCTTCATAAAATGACTGACGTGTACAAACTGTTGTGTACAAAGAGCATTTTTCATATTTCATAGACCTACAATTATAATGATGAATAGATATGATTACCAGTTGCATCTTCGTGGTAAAATATTAAGGTGAGTGAAAATATTAGGGCGAGTCTTTATAACTTTTATGATTATTTTTCAAATTTATTGTTACAAAGATTGTCGTTTACGAACATATAATTAATTTCGAGGAAGCGATCCAACCCAGCTGGTCGCCGACTCACTCTCCCTACGGGAGGTCTCGGGTTCGAAATTCAATGGGGTGAGTTTCAGCCCTGATTACTCCAGACCCCAGTCCCCTCCCCCAGACTCCCTCAGCAGTAAATAAACATACAATTAATTTCTGGTTCAACCAAATTCAATTATATGATTGTTGAATTGAATTTAATATAATTGTATTTGGATCTAGTAACGATTAAATTTACTTATTTCTACTCCGTAATACTCCCTCCGTCCCCTTTTAAATGTCCCGTTTTATCATATTGGGATGTTCCTATTTAATTGTCTCATACCTTATTTGGTAAAGTTTGTGTGGCTCAAAATCATTCTTACTTTATTCTTACTTTATCAATTAATATCAACCACACAAACCCACTTTTCTTAAAACTCATGACACCCTCTTCCGGGACATTTAAAAGGGGATAGAGGGAGTAGATAAACATAGTACAACTAATGGAATGCATTCATTTTTTTTACTTTAATTTATAGCTTATTATTGATAAATTATTGTCATTGTATTTTATAAAATGTTTGTAGCCTGATTGATCTCCCTTAGATATGATTATAGCAAATAAGAAAATACTCAAAGCCAATCCTAAGTGCACTCCAATAGTGTACGAAACTCTGTAGCCCTCCCTAGACCATTACAGACACTTGTTGTATAATCCGTTTACATATCCATGATGATGCTAATATGCTTTTCTAGTCAAGGCCAACCAAATGATTTCTCGACGTACCCTATCATATATTTTTTCTAAGCTAATGAATACCAAATGCAGTTTTTTTATTAGTGTTTTTATACTTCCCCACAAGTTGGCTAAGAAGGTGAATGACCTCAGTTGTTGACTGACCAGACATAAAATCGAATTGATTCTCTGAAATCTTCACACTTCTTTGGAGCTTTTACTCAATCACTCGCTCCCAAAGCTTTATGGGGTGACTCATAAGCCTAATCCCTCGATAGTTGGCACACTCTGCATCGCCCTTATTCTTAAATAGAAGAATAAGAGTACTCTTACACCAACTCGTTGATATTTTGTTGGTTTTCCAAATCTTGTCGAAGAAACATGTTAACCACTCGAAGTCTTTTTCTCCCAAACTTCTCTAGGCCTCGATCAGTATGCCATCTAGACCTACTACTTTCTTCCGCCCCATCTTTCTCACAGTCTCTTTAACTTCTGTCGTTTGGATTTCCTTACAAAATCCTGGTTTTTCATACATACAATTTGATATAGTCAGAACACCAATATCTTGCGTTTTTTTCCCATTGAAAAGGTATCCAAGTATGACCTCCACCTCTCTTTTATTTCCACATCCTCCATTAGTATACTTTGATCGACATCATTCACACACTTAACTTTTCCAATATCTTGAGCGCTATGATCACAAAGACGGGCAAGTGTCAAACTGTCATCACGGAAGTGTCACTATAAAAGCTTTAGTATGGTATCTCTGAATATTGGGCAGAGGGAATTTTTATTATAAAAATTTTAATGTTATTATTAATGAGTTATGAAATTATAAAAGACTAACATTGCCAAAGAAGCTAAGCAAATCCTAGGGTTTGATAACCTGGTAACTATGTGTTGTATATTCAGGGGCATAAGGAGTGGATAAATGAAGTCAACTTTTTGGGCATAGTTAAGCACCCAAATCTAGTGAAGTTAATTGGATATTGTGCAGAAGATGATGAGAGAGGGATCCAACGGCTTTTAGTGTACGAGCTGATGCATAACAAAAGCCTTGAGGACCATCTGTTTTCTAGATCACCCAATGTCCTCTCCTGGAATTTGAGATTGAGAATTGCTCAAGACGCTGCTCGTGGATTGGCATATCTTCACGAAGAAATGGACTTTCAGGTGATCCAAAACCCTCCCATAGAAACGTTTTTTTCTATCAAATGAACCATAGAGATACATCCTCTACCATATGAATGTTTTTCACTTGGCTGAAACTTTCTGATCCGTATTACATCTATTTTACGAAAATGTTCAGTGTTGTTGTTTGGTACTAAAAGGAAGCAATATATTGACACAAAAAATTGCCTTTTTTGTTATAGTTAATATTCCGAGACTTCAAATCATCCAACATTCTTCTAGATGAAGATTTTAATGCAAAACTCTCGGACTTTGGGTTGGCTAGACTGGGACCAGCTCATGGAATTGATCATATATCTACAGCAGTAATTTCCTTTCTCCACCCTCTTTCCCATCTTGTCTTCCTTCGATTTCTTTTTTTTTTTTATCCTTCGATTTCTTGTTAGACCTTTTTGTTTATAGCATGGGTAATATTAAATCAATTCCAAGAACGATTTACCTGATCCAAGTTGACACTTAACACGTAGGGACAATTTTGAAAGGCAATAAATGAGTCAATGGGAGCTTTACCAAATAAACAACAAATTTCAATCAGGCTAGACTTTCAGATCATATTAATTGGGCCTGTATCATTCATTCTAACGTGATTCCTAAGAAGAAATATTTACCTCATACTGGTATATCATAGTCTTATAAAATTCTAATATGTGACCCCTGATATGTAGGGATGATAACTGGGTGGATATTTGCGAGTTTGCCATTTAATCAAAACCTAATGGGACGGAATGACATATGTTTCCATCCAATTGGTAATAATCATATTTGAAAAAAAAGAAAACATACTCGTAACTTGTTTGGGTAGTACTGTAATATAAGAATCCGAATATGAAAGTACTACCATTGGTCCCTGCGTCAAACCAAGGGTTTGATACAAATATTTAAGAAAGCTAGAATTTAGATTATTGAAACTGAATTTATAAAAGCTACCAAATTTAACGAGACAAATATTTTGGTAGTTGGAACAGTCTAAACTGAAAAAATGTGACAAATAAAATGGACCCCGGGTGTAACAATGTATATTGTCCTATATAAAATACTCTTTCCGTCCTACCTTTTATGTGCACAGGTTTTGGAATTTTGACTAATGTTCTTAAGTACATATTTTGATGAATTTATAGATTGTGTACTATAGGTTATGGGAACTCTTGGTTATGCAGCACCCGAGTATGTTCAGTCTGGCAGGTTGACAGCTAAAAGCGACGTTTGGAGCTTCGGGGTGGTTCTCTATGAACTTATCACGGGGAGGCGAGTGCTGGAGCGGAATCTGCCTCGGGGTGAGCAGAAACTCTTGGAATGGGTGAGGCCCTACGTCTCAGACCCCAAGAAATTTCACGTCATTCTTGATCCGAGATTAGAGAGACAGGATTGTGCCAAGTCAGCACACAGACTTTCCTCACTGGCCAACAAATGCCTCATGAAGCAACCCAAGTGTCGCCCTAAAATGAGCGAGGTGGTTGAACGACTCACTTGCATCATTGGAGATGAAGTTGTGACCAAAACAAGTGTGAAAGGAGGGGGGAAGGAAGAGGGGTTTGAAGAAGGTGGATGCGACGAGGCCCGGGAAAACATTGACCAAAAGAAGAGTTTTGATTTCAGGGAAATGATCAATTTAAGGACCAAATCAATTGGGAAGCAGCTGGATTGGAGGAATTGGACGCCTGGTTTGGCTAGAGCCCGGTGATATTCATCCCTTTGTTGTTCTTTTTCATTGTCATTTCAACTTCCCTTTTTCTAGAGGAGATGAATTGCCCTTGTTGATGACCAGAGTCAGATTGTACAGTTTTCTGATGATAACTTTATTCTGAAGATTGGGAGGTTGCTGGTGGCAATTCTCATGCCTGATTGGGGCCTTTGTGGACATTGTGATTTGTGACAGAAATATTGTCAAATGTCAACTATTGTATCAAATAGGCCATACTTGGTAAAGAAACTTGACAGAAATGAATACTTCATATTCATTTCTGTTTCGAGAGTCATTTTTCAAACATGGGTGTCATTTTTTTAAGGGAAAATGGAAACTAATAATCCAACCTTTTAACGGTCTTCTTACAATAATCCCACCTTTTCGTTATTCATGAATAATCCAACCTTTGTACCTCATCTTCATTCACTGGTCTCTGACCGGTTCATGACCTGCTTTTTCAAGTTATTTTCCTATCTTTGCAAACCATTATACCATAAATTTCACCTTTCACAAAGATAATATTTTGCAAAGATAAGAAAATAACTTGAAATAGCAGGTTATTAACCGGTCAGGGACCAGTGAATGAAGATAAGGTGCAAAGGTTGGATTATTCTTGAATAACGAAAAGGTGGGACTATTGTAAGAAGACTGCTAAAAGGTTGGATTATTAGTTTCCATTTTCCCTTTTTCTAATATTACGACACATGTGAATAGTGCTGGACTCGACCCGGAACCAGCCCGGCCCGGTCACTGTTTGAACCGGACCGAACCGGCGACCTGGCCCAGGGGCAATTCGGGTCAACCCGGCCCGGTGGGGTTCGGTTCCGGGCTCGGGCCCTCCATTTGGTGAACCGGCCCGGCCGATTCGGGCCCGGTCCGGGCCGAATTTAATTTATTTATTTTTTTGAATTTTTTTTAAGTTTTTGGGGGTGAGGGGGGTGGTTTGGGGGTGAGGGGGGTGGGTTGGGGGTTAAATAGGAGAAGCCAAAAAAAATAACAAACCGGGTGGCCCGACCCGGCCCGAAACCGAACCCGGAACCGGTGGCTAACAGTTCGAGCTCGGGCCCAACAAAACAGAACCGCGAACCGGCCGGGCCCGAACCGAGTCCACCCCTACATGTGAAGTCCATATCAATTCCCAAAATAGTTTACGAAGCAAGTTTGAGCGTTTGACTAGTGACTGTCCCTCTATAATATTCAAATTCAAATTAATATGAATATTTAAAGTTTAGTCCCTTCGGGGACATCCGATAAAATTGGAATGAATATTTAAAGTTTATGTGCCTATATTGACAAATTGTGCATGGCAAAAATTTAGTCGAATATGATTAAAAAATGTTAAACATAAAAAGAAAGACAACCAAAAAAGGTATTTTTACTTGAAACTTGAAAGTGACACAAATGAGATAGATCTTTTTGTTTTGCATGAAAATATGAACTCAGAGATGATAGAACTGTCCATTCCTTGCGGACTAAGCAAAAAAGGAATCTTTACTTGCGGACTAACCAAGATTAGAATAATTACTCTCGTCAACCAAACGAGCCATAAAAACTGCACTGTTTTAACAATGCACTCACACAGTTACACGAGCTATCAGTCATTATAATAGGAAGCAGTAATAACTAAAGCAAACATAGAAGGAATATGAACAAGAGTTGGGTACCCTAGAGCCCTGCATTACACCCCAGATAACATGCATGTGGGCAACCCGTCCTGCCCATACGTTGGGAGATGGACGGCATCTATATATACTCAACAAAAAATAACTATACAGTTAAGCTGATGATCACATACTGTCAAAAGTGAACCGTGTGGAGTTGTTACATGAACGGTCAAGATCACTTGGAGATGTCCCAAGCTATTTGGCATAGAGAGGAGAAGCCGACGGTCTTGGATAAGCAACCGAAGCATTAGTATCCCTCCCTCTACGGGGCCCAGAGGCTTTGCCCGCATTGGCACGTGAGTTTCCCCCTTTATCCTTTGATTCCACCTTAAGCTGTTCAAGTTCTTTGACCACCTCATCTATGGATGGTCTATACCTTGGTTCAGTTGAAAGACACCTTGATGCAAGATTGGCTACTCTTTGTGCAACCTCCACTTTATACTGGCCTTCTAGACGGTTGTCCATGATTCGGAACAATCTGCGTTTGTTGCCTAAGTATGGTTTGGACCATTCAACCAAGTTGTGTTCTCCAGATGGCCTGTTCTTGTCAATTGCTCTACGGCCCGACAACAGTTCAAGCAGGACTACTCCAAAACTATAGATGTCGCTCTTGGAAGACAAGTGACCTGCACCCAATTATTCCATAAAGGTAAACACATCATATTTCGCCTATAGCAGGTGGAAAATTGGGGCATATATAGCACCACCTAGCTATGTAGCATGAGTATGTGAATGCCCGTTTATTAGGTAACAAATAATTCCGGAAAGGTTTAAGAAAATTCTTGTATGCCCTGAAACTTATAGTACAGATATTTGAGAGTATCGAATACATAGATATGCCACCTCATCAAGTATCCATGCAACATAGGCGCACCTACACTAGGCCTAAGTGAGGTCAGACAAAGCATAGGTATGAATATGTGGGCCTATAATAAATGAATAAGCTATACCTGTGGCTAAGTATTCTGGAGCAGCATATCCATAGGTTCCCATGACCCTTGTAGAGACATGGCTTTTATCACCCGTTGGTCCATCTTTAGCCAAACCAAAGTCAGAGAGCTTGGCATTGTAACTCTACAGTGAGAAAGAAAAAAAGTTGGGCATGTGTCGACTATAAATGAATGCAATTTTATGGGAACTGGAGTAAAGAACTCATACTGAATCTAGCAGAATATTGGATGCCTTAAAATCACGATATATAACTTGAGATTCAGCAGAGTGTAGAAAAGCAAGCCCTTTGGCAGCTCCAAGAGCAACTTTCAAACGTAGATACCAAGAGAGTGGTTGGAAATATGACCCCCCTGATATTTAAACAAACCAAGGTTTCTGTGTTAAACAAGGCAATACATATACGACATCTAAAGGTCTGATTGGATTGAGAGTTTTTATTGGAGGGGAAAGCTGTGAATGACATGGTCAATATCTTGATACTTGAAAAACAGAATGTTTCTAAAAAGTAAAAAGGGATGATTGAAATGTTATATGATCACGTACTATGTTATTCTTTCAGATTCTTTGAAGCAGAAACTTAAATAAACACACCATAGATATACAGACTTAGCCCTCCAACACCCTCAATCCAAAATGACCCTAAACAGAGAAAAAGTTATGTTCAAGGGAAATGACAACTCACTCCTGAACAAATGGTTCTCCAAACTACCACGAGGCATAAACTCATACACTAAGAGGCGATGCTCATCTTCCAAACAATATCCATACAACTTCACAAGATGTGGATGAGAAAACTGCCCCAAATAGTTCACTTCAGCCTGTAGTACAACAAAGTATGACATTTCACACACGTTTTATTTTCTATACAAATGCACTTCTAAAATGTTCAATTGCACATTTTGACATTTTGTATACATTGTTGCACTTACAGTAGCTTATGTTAGTTAAAAGTTCCTTTAAATTACATAAACGCCACCACATTTTAAACTTAAAAATTGATCTCATTCATCTACTTTTTCACAAGAATGATCAAGATTACTTTTTCTTTTTCATCTAAGAAATATTTTTTATCCAAACTAAATTGTATGTATGCACAGACACACACATACTATATATGATAGTATATATTATTTGGTTTTCAGGTTTTGTCCCATTTAACTTTTTGTCTGTCCCACCAAGTCTGCGTCATACCATATTTGGTAATATTTGTGTGTTTTTAATTGATTCCTACTTTATTCATACTTTACAAATTTAATACTACGTACTAACCATTGACATCCATTTTTCTTAAAAATTGTGCCACTTTCTCATTTCTAGGTGTCTCACAATATTAGTGGGACCACTGGGACGGAGGTAGTATTTCTGAAGTGAAAAAAAATGAGAATTAATCTTGATCAATGGTGTGGAATAATAGATGGCCGAAATCAATCTAAGTCTAAAACAAGGTGTATTATTGGAAATATGAATCAGTGTATACAAAATGTGACGAAATTTTTAAACACACGTGTGAGCTATTTTATGATGGAATAAAGCAAAATGGCTCACTAAATTGTCTACGATTCTTTGTTATGAAGCAGCAGTCAGTCTATGCAATTTTTTATGCGATTTTCAATATGGGTCATCCGGAAACAGCCTCTCTGTACTTTAGTACAGGGTAAGGATGTGTACATCCGACCCCCCCCCCCTACCTCACCGTAGGTGGGAGCCTTTGCGGCACTGGGGTAATGAGGATGATGATGTGTGAACTATTTTATGTTTGTTACTGTGTCTTGAATCTGATCACAAACTATTTGCGGAAGTACGAGGGACTCGTTGCACGATCAGTGAGAGTCAAGGGTCTAGAGGCAACACGGCCTGGCCTGGGGTCCGGGGGCAGAGACGCCCTGGCCTGATAGTATGCAGTAATAACTATTAATTTGGGCCAATTTTGCTGAAGGTTTACTTGGAGTACTTTATACACATTGTGTGTGAAGCTTTGTATGTATTATGTAATCTGAAAACCTAGCTTCCTAATAAATTTGGATCTCCTTCTGCTTGTGGATGTAGATAACACAATGTTGTTGAACCACTTTAAATCTGTTTGTCTTCTCTTATGTTTATTTTTCATATTCTTTGATTCATAATAATCCACCATAACAATATGTACACGATTAAACGATGCATTTTGTATCATAAAGTGTAGCACATTAATGTTTCAAATATTTACAATTCACCATGTTTTTAGTGAAAATTGATGTAACCCTTCCGTTTTAAAACAATTAAAGGCTTAGATTCATTCACATCTTTAATGGGAAGACTTATTTTTATTCGAACCCAACCCGATATATATTGCCAATCACGTGAAAATATGTTTAAAAACATACCAGCCATTCCTTGTGCCCCTGAAAACCTTCTTGGTTTAACCTTTTCACGGCAATCACTATGCCACTACCAGGCTTAGTTGCTGTTAAAGTGTCTTCATCAATCCAGCCTTTATAAACCGAGCCAAACCCACCTTCTCCGAGTACACTATCTGGACGAAAGTTCTTGGTGGCCATTTTGAGTTCAGAGAAAGTAAAGCTCTTCAGATTGGGTGACTGTAAGATCTCTCCCTCACTCCTAGGAGTTGGCTGTACAGAATTCATGCTGCTTGAGTTTCTCGAATTACTCCCTTGAGTGCTACCATATTTTGAACTCAGACCTTAT